AAATGGGATCTCATTAAACTAAAGAGCTTCTGCACAGCAAAAGAAACTACCATCAGAGTGAACAGGCAACCTACAGAATGGGAGAAAATGTTTGCAATTTACCCATCTGACAAAGGGCTAATATCCAGAATCTACAAAGAACTTAAACAAATTTATAAGAAAAAATCAAACAACCCCACCAAAAAGTGGGCAAAGGGTATGAACAGACACTTCTCAAAAGAAGACATTTATGCAGCCAACAGACACATGAAAAAATGCTCATCATCAATGGTCATCAGAGAAATGCAAGTCAAAACCACAATGAGATACTATCTCACACTAGTTAGAATGGCAATCATTAAAAAGTTAGGAAACAACAGGTGCTGGAGAGGATATGGAGAAACAGGAACGCTTTTACACTGTTGGTAGGAGTATAAACTAGTTCAGCCATTGTGGAAGACAGTGTGGCAATTCCTCAAGGATCTAGAACTAGAAATAGCATTTGACCCAGCCATACCATTACTGGATATATACTCAAAGGATTATAAATCATGCTACCATAAAGACACACGCACACGTATGTTTATTGTGGCACCATTCATAATAGCAAAGACTTGGAATCAACCCAAATGTCCATCAATGATAGACTGGATTAAGAAAGTGTGGCACACATACACCATGGAACACTATGCAGCCATAAAAAAGGATGAGTTCGTGTCCTTTGTAGGGACATGGATGAAGCTGGAAACCATCATTCTGAGCAAACTATCACAAGGACAGAAAACCAAACACTGCATGTTCTCACTCACAGGTGGGAAGTGAACAACGAGAAAGAACACTTGGACACAGGGTGGGGAACATCACACAGTGGGGCCTGTCATATGGTGTGGGAGGTGGGAGGGATGGCATTAAGAGAAATATCTATTGTAAATGACGAGTTGATGGGTACAGCACATCAACATGGCACATGTACACATATGTAACAAACCTGCACGTTGCACACATGTGCCCTAGAACTTAAAGTACAATTTAAAAAAAAAAAGAACTTTTTCTTTTGCAAAGATTTAATGAGCATTCAATTTATAAGACTTTGGTTTATGTCATTATGGTACTTTCAAATAGTTCTTAGAGTTTTATATTTTTAGTCTTTTATATAATTAACCAAATAAAAACTTTTAGAGCTGTCCAAAGGATCTTGTATTACCTTTAAAATAAGACTTTAATATTTATTTTTAAAAGACAAACATGACCGATTGCTTACTTATAAAAGGAAGGACTTTTGTGAAATCTTGCCACTTTTTAAAAGGTTGGATTTTGCTTCTTAGGTTGACTGATTTTTTTTTTTTTTTTTTTGTCTCTACAGGTATCTCTACTGTAAGTCTTAACTAGTACTTATGAAAGATCTCTGACCCTTTCCTTAGGTAACTACTGGCCTTATATGACCTTTGCTGTTTTCCCAACCCTGAGTGCTTCTTATCTAAAGCCTCCAAATTATATCTCAATGACTTTGTGGAGAAGGAAAAGGTGTCTCCATGTTAATTCAGGCATTCAGTCTACTTACGGGCAAGGTTGGACAGGAATTATTTGACCAGGATGTCTTCTTCAATTTTTAACTTGTTCACAGTATTAATTCAGATTTGTGGCTATGAAAGGGAACACCTTTTCAGAGTGGAACTGGTCATTTTAGAAACAAACATGATCTAATTTGTATTTCAAAAAACTACATCACATTGAGAAACAGGATGGCCTGATGGGAAAAAGACTACATAAGGTACTAGAGTCTACTTCTGGAATGCCTGTTTTTTACTCTTTTCTTAGAATGAAGATGAAGACGACAACTTGTAATTAATACTGGAAGTTAAGAAATGAATTTGAGAGGGTTTGGGAGTGAAACAGGGATGCTTCCAGTGAGATATGGCTACAGAAACATCTACATTTTAGTTCATAAGAAATAAGAGCTTGGAACAGCATGTATATTGTAACTCAGGTAGATAAACTAGGTTAGTTGGTTAACTATGTCAGTATCTGTATTCTGAGGCTGAGAAGTTCACCTTTGTTTCTCTTCCACATGAGAAAGAATGCTGCTTGGGATTTTTAAGTATCAGTAGACATATAGTTAAAATCATAAGACAGTTAAAAGTAATTACTTTGTATTAGGCACACTTCTAAGTGCTGAGACCAATACAAGATGATCCAGACTTCAGTCGTCTAGGTGGGAACCACCAAATTTTAAGTAACCCGCGAGATTAGAATTGCTTAAGAAAAGATGATGAACGAGGAAAGAGGAGATATGGGAGAATATGACATTGAACTTGGACAACTGCTTAGGATTCGGGAACCAATGGGAGGCGCTGTGGTGTGTGTGTGTGACTGCGTAAAGAAAGTGTTAGAAACAGTTCAGGCAGTATGGCATAGTGCTTAAGAGCATCACCTGGAGCCAGAAGGCCTAGATTCAATTCCTGGTTCCACTACTTTCAGCTGCAGAACCACTGGCAGGCCACAAACTCCCTTTGCTTTACTTTTTCCATCTGTAAATTGGGGATAATAGGACTTTTCTCAAAAGATTGCTGAGATGATTAGCTATAATGTTTATAGTAATTATTGCTGTTAACATTATTATAGTTACTTTTTTTTTTTTTTTGAGACGGAGTTTTGCTCTTGTTGCCCAGACTGGAGTGCGATGGCATGATCTCTGCTCACTGCAACCTCTGCCTCCCGGGTCCAAGCGATTCTGCTGCCTCAGCCTCCTGAGTAGCTGGGATTACAGGTGCCTGCCATCACGCCCAGCTAATTTTTTGTGTTTTTAGTAGAGACAGGGTTTCACCATGTTGGCCAGGCTGGTCTCAAACTCCTGAAGTCAGGTGATCCACCTGCCTTGGCCTCACAAAGTGCTGGGATAACAGGCGTGAGCCACCACACCCAGCCTACTATAGCTACTTTTGTACTTAATCCAAATCAAAAGTTTATACAGCCAAGTATTATTTCTGATTGGGAAAAGTGCCAATCTAACAAGCAATCTTCAAAACTGTATTTTATTATTTTCATGTAGTAACTAAACAGCCTACAGGCAAATACTAGCATCCAGCACATGAATGACTGACTTCCTCCCCAGAAACGGGAATAAAGTACATTTGAAGTTAGAAGGAAGTGTCATTGGTAGACACAGAAATGAGAGATAAGAAACAAAGAAAAGAAAAACAGTACATGTCAGAGATTTCAGGAACAAACATCATGGCAAATTAAGTTTACATAAAAATGAAAGAGTAAAACTAATTTGAGAGGGTGATTCTTATATGAGAAACATCAGAGATAATATCTAGGCTCTTCCACATTGTTCAGAAAACAATCAAAATATTCACTTGTACCATTCTGACCTTTTTCGCAGGAAGATGTTACATATTCAAGTTACTAGGTTTCTATGATTCTCTATCCTTATAACTTCAAAAATGTTATTTTCAGAAATAAAAATGTTCTTAAAGTTCAGATAAACCATATGCAATGTATGTAGATAAACTATGCAATGTAAAAGATCCTTTCGGAAGACATTTTTCATCTTTTATTGGCAAACTTAGCTGCAAATTTTTAACTTTTTTGCCAATCTAGAGGACTTTCTCCTCTGCCATGTTGGAGTTAAAGGGATTGTACTTTCTTTGTAAACAATACAATATATAAAACAACTATTTTCACATATTAGAAAACTGGCAGCAAAAAAAATGTGATTCCTAAGAAAAGAAGGGAGCTAGCCCTACAATTACCTGAAGGCACATACATTCTGAAGTACTGAGCAGGGGCGGGAGATCAGGACAGTCTCACTGAGTAGAGGAAAGAGAGATAAGTTCAGAAAGGCTGAGGCAATTTAGAAAATGTAAGACAGTAATCAAGAGAGGAGGTGCCTAAGTAAAAACAAAGCCCCAGAATTCTGCATAGGGTGCCCTTGAATCTTTGTTGAATACTAAGCTGTTAATGCATAAAATGAGCCAAGAACAAGTGGGATGCTGTAAGTTAGACAATTCTCAGAGTTCATACAAGACAGGGAGACTTTTGAACTCTAATCTGCTTAAGTGGAGAGTCCTCATTGATCACTAGGGGCATCCAATAGAAGCCTCAAAAGGGATGTGCTTTAGCAGTAGGGTTAGAGGTTACTAGAGTTACTCTAGACTTCTGCTAACAAAGCATAAGAAAAGCCTTGAAAAGAAATCAAGCGGTAGGATCAACTACTTACCAGACAAAGCTCAATAATAGTCTTTAAAAGAGGAAAATCAAATCCAAACACTGAATAACATAAAATTCACAATACTCAATATCCAATAAAAAATTACTAGACTTCTAAGAGGCAGGAAAAAGTGTCAGGAAACTAGAAGAAAAAAAAGCCAACAGAAAAGAGACCCAGAAACAAACAAATACTAAAATCTGTAAAATATGCTTAATATTAAGGACTTGAAAAAAATGAACATAATGAAGAAAAATACTAAAGAATTTTAAAACAAAGACCCAAAATGAACTGTTAGAGTGAAGAAAAAAAAAGGATGGGATTAGGCCAGGCGTAGTGGCTCACGCCTGTAATCCCAGCACTTTGGGAGGCCAAGGCGGGCAGATCACGAGGTCAGAAGATCAAGACCATCCTGGTTAACACAATGAAACCCCATCTCTACTAAAAATACAAAAATTTAGCTGCGTGTGGTGGCAGGCACCTGCATCCCAGCTACTCGGGAGGCTGAAGCAGGAGAATGGTGTGAACCCAGGAGGCGGAGCTTACAGTGAACCGAGATCGCACCACTGCTCTCCAGCCTGGGTGACAGAGCAAGATTCTGTCTCAAAAAAAAAAAAAAAAAAAGATGGGATTAATAGCAGATTAAAGAAAGGAAAAAGATCAGTAACTTGAAGCAAAGGAACTGTTCTATAGTGAACAGTGAAGCACAGAAAGAAAAAAAGGTTTTAAAAAATGGAACAGTCTTAGTGACCCATAAAACAAAGCTTAGCACTCTAACATAATAAGGGTCAGAGGGCAGGAAGCGGAAAGCAGCATTATTATTAATATTTTAAGAATTCATGGCCAAAATATTTTTTATTTTGATGGAAACTATAAATCCATAGATCAATGATGCTCAACGAACTCTGAACAGAATAAATATAAGAAAAGCATACCATGACACACCAGTCAAACTGCCAAAAAACAAGGATAAAACCTTGAAAACAGAGGAAAAAAAGACATGATATACACAAAATAACAATAACAGGAATTACCAGAAACTTCTTATGAGAAATAAGGTCAAAAGACAATAGAATAAAATCATTAAACCGCCCAAAGGGAAAAAAAAAACACTACATAAAATTCTATATCAAGTAAAAGCATTCCTCAAAAACAAAGGCAGAGTATATTTTCAGATAAACAAAAGCTGAGAGAACTTGTTCCTAGCAGTAACCTGCACTACAAGAAATGTGAAAGGAGGCTCTTCGTGATGAAGAAAAATAATTTGAGATAGAAATTCAAATCTACGCAATGGAATACAAAGCACTGGGAATGGTAAATATATGGATAAATACACATTTTTACATAAATATCCATTTCTTATATTCCTTAAAAATACTTTTAAATGATAATTGATTGCTTTAACAACAATAATAATAATGCGCTTTTTTAAATAATAATGTGGTGTTTTTAAGACATGTAGAAAAACGTTGACAAAAATAGCAAAATGGTTGAGGAGAGTTTATTGTTGTTAGAGTTCATATAAATATAGTGATACAATGTTATTTGAAAGTAGACTGTAATAAGGTAAAGACATATATTTTGACTCATAGGGCAACTAAGAAAAAAAAATACAACAAAGAACTATAGCTAAAAAGCCAAAAGCAGAATAAAATGGAATACTATAAATAATATAATAGAAGGGAGGACAAAAGCAACAAAAACCAAAAGATGAAAAGAAAACACATGGCAAAATAGTAAACAACTATATCAAGAAATACATTCCTGTAAAGGGTAAAAACACATCAGTTAAAAGGCAGAGACTGTCAGATTGAACAAAAATGCTAAAACCAGCTATATGCAGTCTACGAAAAAAACATTTTAATATAAAAGCACACATGCATTAAAAGTCAAAAAGCAGGAAAAGGTACACCTCTCCGTCAACCTGCTTTGCAGGTCTTACCATGTCTTCAGAGATGCCCACAATCCTGGCACAAAAATCCTTTTTTCTTTCTTCCCAAGTGGTCCACTGCCCACTCTCAACAAACGAGGCAGTTCACTTTTAACGATTTCTTAGCAGCTCAGTTTATAACACAGGCAAACCCACTCTATCTATTCAAAGCTCTAAGACAATATGATTTTCCTTTTAATTATTTTTCTTATCAATGTCTTCATTAAAAGCTATTATCTTTTCAAATATTATAAATTTAAGAACCAATGAAATTACCTGCCAGTTCTTCATGTTTTGATTCATTCTCATGTTCGTCATCAGTTAGTTCTACATTAGCTTGATTACTGGAAAAAATATTTATTCAATTTAGCATTATATGTTAAAAATATATTCTCATGCAACTCTTTCTGTATACCTTTCAAAAATTCCCTAAAATTATACACGTTCTCTCTCAAATCCTCTTGTTCTATCAAAAGCTAAAAATTTGGGAGCTTTAAGGAAAACGTTTTGAAAATAAAGCATCTTCAAAGTATATGATTAATTGTAGCTTGAAAGTAATACAAAGGAAAAAGATGCCCTATTTCCTAAATATATACAATTTTATTACTATGTGCATTTTACATGTCCAAATATTATCTTATGATCCTAGATATCCCTTCTACACTAAAGATTAGAAATTGACCACAAGCTATGAGAACCAGTGAAGTCCATACGAAAGCCAGAAAAAAATTGCTAAGGTCAGCACTTACATGCTAATAAGCCATTTAATCCTGAAATGGAAGCTGAATAGGAGCCTTAAAACAAAACCTAAGCAAGGGAACAAAGGAGCTTGAGTATGATTTAATTATATTGGATGTATTAGTTCATTTACTGCTTTCTCTCAAGCCAGGAATCTGTTCTACCTTTTCAGTCTATCAACCCTCTTTAGTGAGATCGTAAGAGAAACTATAAGACTATGTAATAATGATGAGAGCTACAAACACCTAATATTGCATGTTCAATGCTATTCTGTACTTTGACCGGCCTGTTCTAGAGCAGAAATATCAATAGTTAAGAATACTGTTAAGAAATAAGAAAAAAGTTTAAAAATGTAGGAAAGTGGCAAAAAGTTGTGGCCCACAAACTCGGCATGCTTAACCTGTATTGACACCGTTGGGAAAGGCAATGACCATAGGCCCTGAATGTCTCTGCACATTCTTGCTGAATATGCCAAGAGTGCAAGACGTTGATCATTTTTCACCATGCCATTTCGGTAACATTTCCGACCAAATAAAGAGCAGGCTTGTCTCCACTTTATAAAAGTAATACATTTTTCCAAGCTCAGTGTTCCTCTTCTGTAACACAGCCCACTGTGTGTGCATACATCAGTTATGGATCCTTTGCCTTGCCCTCAGCATACTCATAGGGCATGGGGAACCAATGCAAACAAATGCGACACTCAGGTACTGCCTTTGTTCTTTAATTCTGATCCAGGAATCTTCTGTCTATTGTCAACATCATAAAACTGGAAGACTAGCTTGTTAGCTTGCCAAGTAGGGTAAAAACCTCAGACCCTGAAAAGTTCATGACGATAAACGCATTTCTTTATCCGCTGTCTATAAAAAACTAATCATCCTGTAGAGCCTAGGCACTCCAATAATCAGAGATTATGATTCTCCCGACCCTGAACTCAATTATACCTTTGTGATCTCAAAATCCTAAATAAAATTGTAATCTGCTTTCCATTCATAATTTTAAGAATTACATGGATAACTAAATAAGGGCATTGAAGACCTCAGGTTTCAAAGGTCTTGAGAATGGCAATGGTCTAGTGTAATAAAGAGAGGATCAGCTCAGTGAACTAGTGGGATTCCTAGAATAAATGAGGTTTCCCGATAACCATCAGGGTCAACCATACAAAGGTTAAGACACAGATCAAACTTGTCTTTGCTCCTTGGTTCCCACCTGCCTTTCTGTTGTATTTTTTCCTGAGTTTATAATAGTAACCTGGACTCTCTTATTTATCTGTGGAAAATGACTTAATAAATTACTTTCCTAGTAAGGACTTCTTGGCAATGTACTATTAGTCTCCATAGCATGAAATTTCAGACTTTGGAGGCAGCATGGGCTCTCAAATACAAAGAAACATATTCTATTCACACATAAGAAAAACCCTAACTGTAAAATGAACAGATAACAGATTTAAAAAATAAGATTTAATTTTGCCTGTTATAATGTTTACCTATTTAAAATCATGCATATATCAGCCTTTCAAAAAACACAGAAAACATAAAAATCATTAACAGTTTACACTGTACTTTACCTATGTAAAGCTTTAAAATGTGTAGAGTCATTAGAATCCAATTCCTTATTTAATCTCGAATAATCAATGGAAGATGTCAAGCCCTTCTCAAGCCTGGCAAAAAATTGTTCTTTCTCCTCTTGTTCTTCTAATGTGTCCAATCCCACTCCGAGAATACTATGGTTGAGCTCAGAAACTACTAGTTCTAAATGGAAAGCACAGATATATTTTAGTAATATACAGAATTTTGAAAACATTGATTTGAATGATGCATTTACTGACATTATGTAAATTTTTAAAATTTTACAAATATTTACTCTCTTACTCATCAAATATGAATTCATATTAATAATATGTAAGGTTTAAAGCTTCTCTAGAATGATAATTCTAAACCTCTAGGAAGATACTAAATCTGTCTACATGCTTCAGTAAAGGAGGCTTCAAGATAGTTAACTTTTGTAATTCTGAATATAAGCATAACAATTAATAATTGACCAACTCATATCCCTTGCATTTCTTACCATTTGTTTCTAAGCTATCAGTACTTAAGAGAGAGGTTCCACTGCTCTTAAGAAATTGAATCTTTTCAGCAGACTCCTCTTCTATTTCCATAACAGGTTGAGAATTCTTCTTTGTTTTCAAATAGCTCACATTTGTTCCAAGCTGTCCTAGGAACACAATTTAATACAGATGAACATTTATGTTCAAAGAATTGTTTTGACCACTATGACAACACAATAATGTTATGCTAATTTTATGCACAGAACCAACAAAATAAATCTGCTCTATTAAATAAAAATCCATCAGACCTAACACTCACAAAAGAAAGATTATAATGCTATTTGGTGGCACTGTATCATATCAAATAGAATACTTCAAAGGGTTGCACCATAAGACAAAAATTTTTTTTAATCACTTTGAAGCCCAAGTACTTAATGCAGTATACCATCCCACTTTAAGGAATATCTTCTGCCTCATTCCTTCTGTTCTTTACATTTCTCAGAGGGTTTTTGTTGCGGAACTCTTAACACTATTGGAAATAGACTGTGGGCGGCATGAATCAGTATAACAAAATACGAGGGGGCAAAGTAGGTACAATTAAAAACCTACTAGGCTAGACAGAAGCCTTTGTTAGTGTAAATATGATTTCAAAAAATAGATGGAAATAGTTAAAGCTCTTTCAAAGTCATTATTTCTAAAACAATGGCATCAGTGGCTCACTGCAGGAGAGGTTCTCATGCCAGGATATGTGCATATTGTTGGGGACAGGAGGGTATTATAGTCTCTCACAGCATTCAGGAATTTGAAATTTTCTCTAACGCTAATATATATTAAGCATATTAAGTGTTTTATGACTGATTAGATGTTTGATGATACTAAGAAATTATTATAGATATTTCTTAGACAATATTTTTTGGTTATATTTTAAAAAGAGAGTACTTATTTTCAGAGATACTTTGAAATATATGTGGAGAGAACTGATAAGCTGTTGGAGATTTGTTTCAGTATAATCCTGAGTGTTGGAAGGTGGAAAATAAGAGAGAATATCGATGAAAAATGATTGGCCATGAGTTAATAACAACTGTTGCAGCTAGGCAATGGGTACACAGGAGTATGTGGTACTTACGTATATGTTTGAATTTTTTTATAATAAGAAGTTTCAAAAATGTTCTATGAATCCTGGGTAAAAAAGTATAACTTATGTTTCTGTAGCAAAGGTTTGAGTATTATTTACTTTATTCAAATTTTTTGACAAACTATGTGCCTAGAACATTGTTAGTGCCAGCTATACAATGAAGTCCTTTACCATCATGAAGGTTAAAATCTAACAGGAGGAGACAATCGACAGCAAATATTCATGGGTGCCTACTACACACCAGGCATTGTTCTAAATGCTGGGGCTTTATCAGTGAATAAAAAAGACAAAAATCCCTGCTCATTCATGTGATTTGAGGGAGGCAACAAGTAAAATAAGTACATTGCAATTAAATAGTACATTAGAAAACAGTTAAGTGCCAAGAAGAAAAATAAAACAAGAAAGAGGAACAGAGAATGCAGGAATGGAGGGCACTACAACTTTAAAAAGGATGGTCAGGAAGGCCTTCACTGAGAAGTTAACACATGAGCTATGGCTTGGTGGGGGTGAGGGACCAATCTATATGAATACATGGGGGAAGAGTGTTTAAGGAGGAGGAAAGAAGTGTGAAGCCTCTAAGGCAGGAAAATGCCTAGGCATGTGTGAAGAGAAAGGAGGCCCAATGTAGTGATATTGGCATAAGCAAGGGAAAGGTAGTCTAAGTTGGGAGGTCAAAAAAGTCAGGGTGTAGAACTGACGTGGGTGGTAGCTTGAATGAAGGTCATCAGCTTTTATAACAAGTGAAATGAGAAGCTATTAGAGGGAGGAGGTGGCTATGATGTGGTAGGCAAGATTTTTTGGTGTAAAGAAGTTTAAGGAACTCAGAAGTCAGGTTGTTAGAGGCAACAGCTATGTTGTTAATGTAGTCACCAATAATTAGACAAGAGAATTGGAGACTCACAGCGAAACAGCAGCTTAAATCTTTGAGGAATGAGGAGGAATAACCTGGAGTTCAGTAGATAACTGCAACAAAGAAACATAGTAGGTAGGTGGCCTGATGGCAAGGTTCATAAGGAGATTGGAAGGAGAACAGTCTAGAAACAGCAATGAACAATAACTTACTCCTTTTCCAAGTCTAATGGAACAAAAGATGTGGTAAAGAAAACAGTAACCATTGGAGGTTACCAGAGAAGCAGCACTGTTCATAGAGCAAAGTTAAATGTGAATTATAACTCTGCTTTGAAGGAATTATGTAAGATTAATTGGGGGGGTATACCAAGACAGGAAAATCCAAGAATATTTCCATGAGGAAGTAACATTTCTGCTAAGATGTGAAGAAAGAGCAGGAAATAACTAGGTGAACTAGGCCAGGGAGACCAGTACAGGCAGGGGACACAGCAGGTACAGAAGCATGACAATGGGAGGGGCAGGCCACATTTGCAGATGCCAGAAGGCCAGTGAGGCTGGACTCAGATTTGAGGGTAAGCCTAAGGGGAAATAAACCCAGAGCAAGAAGTCAATGGTTGGACCATGCTCATCCTCATAGGCCAGGCACATGGTCTTGCTCTGTATTACAAGAGCACTAGAAAAAACTGGTAAAGTTATACAGTATCAAAATTTCCTTATTTTAACAGTATATATTTGTTGTAAAAAACTGATATATGGAAAAGGTAAATAATTATAATGAGTAATGTTTTGTTTTTGTTTTTTGCTTTTTAGTATTCTTTTGTTCTTTGTTTTCTTCAAAAACCAGATGACTGAAAATGTGTGCTATAAATATTAAGATTAGAAAAAAACATCACTTTTGGTTAGAAGGAAGCCTTATTAAGAAGTCACGAATTCTGACTTCAATTTCCTAATTAGTGTCCTCTTGGAAAAGGCTAAGAATCAATTTATTTTATGCCTTTCTGTAAATAATGGTTTTACTGGATCAAATAATAACCTCCATAAGTCGTAAAAAATCAAGAGATAGATTCACAGACACTTCAAATGCAAAAGTATATGCTAAGTTGGTGTGCTGTGGTGGCAACATGTTCAGGGTGTCACCCTGGCTCTAAAGCAGGACTCGGTGTTATAGCTCACACTAACCAAGCTCACAAGAGATTAATGTCACAGAAACAAAGATCCAGTTTAGTTATTTACAATAAAGAATACAATCAGCAAGAGGATGAGATAGTTTCACCTTCTAAGTTGATCATTTTATTCCTATGGCAACCAGGAAACAGGCAAAATTATAATGTAAAAGTTGCTCACTGTTAATGTTTAATGGTACCTGTCTTAAGATTAGTAATGCATTCTTCTTCTCAAGAGGGGTGTTGAATTCTCCCTCAGAAGGTTCTACACTCTTGATACAGGAATCATGTCTTGGCTTTTTATACTAATGCCTAGTATTTAGAACACAATATGAACTCAGTAAACATTTGCTTGAATCAGGGACCAGGTTATTCCCATGGGCAGGGAAACCTCCCTCTGTTTAAGTTGACATTGCCAAAGTTTGCTTCTTGACTATCCTTCTTTCCTTCTTTCACTAATCAAATCTATTTTTGATACATTTAAAAAAATTTTAATACCATCAATCAGGTTACATGTGAATATTTTTGGTCTAGGAGCTATTCTTTTCCTGTAGGATTAGGCTGTATATATCTACTCCGATTCATTACCTTCTAGACAAAAGGCTTTATGTCCCAAATCTCTGTCAACAATTCCAACAGTACTTCATCTTATAACATCCTTTTCAAGCATTAAAAGCAGGGAGAGATTCTAAAACATAATTCTTCACTACAAAGTTCAGCATATTGCATAAGAATTTATAAAAAATACACTGAATTTTTCAATAAGGAATTTCTTTAAACTACAGTATTAAAAAGAACAGAGAAGTGACTGTCAAATCTACTTTAATATGCATTTATTAAACAAATTTATCACTTAATGTTGAGGGTCAGAGGATATAAGGACAAAGAGGTGCTTCCTACCCTCACAAAGCTCCCAACCTCAGGACTTGTCCTATAGGTTACAACTATCAACCCAGTGTGTAAGTGTTACTATGGTGTTCTGACATCAAAATGAAGGAGAAACTAATTGTGACAAGAGAACTAGAAGATAGGGTGAAGGACTGCAAAAAGTGGTGATGCTAGGCTTTACTGGACAAGAAGGATGAGAGGAAAGGCATTCTAATGGCAAGGAAGCATGAGATAATGCACAGAGGCAGGGAGGCCTATGGTGTTTTCCAGGAGATGAGGAATGATTTAGTATGGCTAGAACACACGAGAAGGCAGGGTTCCAGACAGATCATGCAGAGCCTTAATTATGACATGAATTCAGGCTCAATTTTTATGGGGGGAAAAAAAAGTCCATATGTAAATTTTTTCCCTAGAGATCCAGAAATTCTATCATTTTACAAAATTGTGCTTAACACTGATCCACAAATGGTATGAATGTAGGTACTGAAATAGAAGCAGTCGGGGTTGTTGACAGATACGGCAGTATCATATATAGTAAACCTATCAGGCCAGGTGTGGTGGCTCATGCTTGTAATCCCAGCGTTTGGGGAGGCCAAGGTGGGAGGACTGCTTGAGGCAAGTTTGAGATCAGCCTGGGCAACAGAGTGAGAGACCCTATCTCTACAATAAATACAAAAAAATTAGACAGGCATGTTGGCATGTACCTGTAGTTCTAGCTACTCAGAAAGCTGAGGTGGGAAGATTGCTTGAGTCCAGGAATTTGAAGTTACAATGAGCTATGATTGTGTTACTGCCCTTCAGCCTGGGTATATCATATACATATGTATATGAGACATACATATATGTATATAAGACATATAAGACATATATATATAGAGCAGTAATTTTTTTTACTACTGTCATTAACAAACTGTGATACCAAAGTCTATAGGTTTGTTAAACTCTTCCCAATGCAATGACATTAATATACTGCCAGAATATCTTATTAAATCACATTAAATCAATTTATCATTAAACATGATAATAAATATACCTGAATTATCACCTTAATTTGAGTAAATATAAATTATCTCCATGTAAAATAAGCTGATAATGTTATAACACAGATTCTCAATTACATAATAAATACATAATAAAATACTAGTTATATGAAAATCAATTCAAACTTCAAAAATCCACACTATTAGTATTATTTTCTTTATTTATAGTGAAGTAACAAAATACAGGTCTTGACTGACCCCTTGTGGTCAAATAATTTGAAACTAAAAATCAGCAACATTTACCATCATCTTTAAAATCATCTTCAGTTATCCACCAAGGCACTGTATCTTTCTTCTTCATTTCTTTTTTAGATTGTCTAGCTGTTTTGTCTGAATTTTCAAAAGAATCATCTGAAAGCTGAATTGGATATAAGATAGTGAATTTGAAAATACAGTGCAAATTCAAGAATTTCAGATTCATCATTAAGCATGTTTCTATTAGTTCGCTCACAGTTCAGCTATCACATAGATAAACAACATTCTCACCAATAACGTATAAGTTCATAGCCACAAACATATTTGGCCAAAATAACTTAAAAATCAGACATACATCTCTGAGCATCAATTTCATAATTAAACAAGTAAACCGGGAGAATAACAACAAAGACATAAAACTTGATCAAGAATTTTTTTCAGGAAAGAAAAAATAGGAGGATACAATCCTGTCTTCCATACATTCTCTAGGGTTTAAGAATAAACCTGGCTGAACAAAATTGCATAGCACCACTCTAGAAACAGAATTTCAAGAAAAGGAAGAACTGAGTTTCAGGGTGTAAAGGGGAGAATGAAATTGACCAGAAAAATCAGCATATTTTTTCAGCGATTAATAAATGCTTATTTGCTTTTTTCCACTCTTCCAATCCAAATTTTACTACACTCCTAAATCTCATGCTCTAACCTCAATACCACCCCCCACCACCTAGCCAGTAACTTGGTCACCCTTGTCTCTGAGAGATAAAAACCTTCAAACACCACCCACCTCACTCCACTACTAAACTGACTTGTGAAGGCACTTCTTTCGTCTCTCAGACAACACAATCCTTTCCTCCACTCTAAGCAGAACTTCTCTAGGTTCTTCCTTCCTTGGTTATCCCATTTGATTTCTGTACGTTCACTCCCTTCTCTCTCTACTCCCCTCCCTTCCCTCTGATTATACACCTGCTCAGCACTCCGTCTCCATTGCCTAGCACAGTACCAGGCACAATTGTGGAATGAAAAATGAATATTTACTCAACTTTGAAAAAAAAAAAAAGTAAAACAAAACAAAAAAATTCCTTATCCCTATATCCCTTTTACTCTACCTATCACATTTCCTTGACATACTAACTCCTTGAGTTCACTTAACCACTTATAATCTGGTTCCCATCCAAAACAGCTCTCCTCCAGGCACCAAAGGACTCCGAAATGCCACGAATAAAGTAGCACTGTCAGTTACCCTCCCTGATCACATCATGGAATTTGCTACTGGTGATCAACTCTTACTCTTACTTCTTGAAACTCTCTACCTTGACTTTAGTAGCATCACTTCCTCTGGGTTATTCTTCAGATCTGTGGCTACTCCCACCCGTCTATTTTAATAGCTTTTGCCTTTTTGCCCATTTATTTAACAGGAGACTTCTCCAGGACTCTGCTCTTGATCCTTTTTCAATCTCATTCTACATTACTTTTTCTGGAAAAGAAATCAACATTTACTACATGCCTGCTCTATGTCAGGATCTACACTCAGGTTAACTCACTTAATCTTTAAACAACCCTGCAGAAATTTACTCATGGTGAAACTGAAGCTCTAAGAGGTTAAGCAACTTGCCCAAATTGCTACTGTTAGTAAGTGTTACGAAGTGACATTTAAACCCATGTCTGACTAACTCCTGTTCACTTTCCACTATACTATGTAGTTCCCCAACTAGATTATTGTTATCTGAGAGACCTTTTAAACTTCTAAAATGACAGCAGGCACACCCATGTGCGTGCGCCCCCCGCCCCCGCCTCCACACACACTTCCACTTGCCAAACAAAAAACTCTACCTTAGTGACTTGAAGAATGTCAATTTTAAAACGTTCAAGAAGAACTTACTGTCTTCACTAACAACCAGGTAGGAAGACAGGAGGAGGGAAGAAAAAATATTTCTTATCCCATCTGAATTTCTGAAACTAGCTGCATCACTTTTCACTTTCTCTCTAAGCTTCAGTATCACCTTGAGGTGTTCCATTTCTCTCTCCTCCCATTTTTTCAGTTTATTTATCTGTAACACAGGCATGGTACCACTGACCTTGTAGGGCCATGACAAAGAAGAGAAAAAAAAATGAAGATTTCTAATACATGATAAGTGTTCTTACTTTGAACAACCTTCCAGAGTGCTTCCCAGCACTTTCATTAATTATTTTTATCAATATGATTAATTAAAAATAAAACAAAACAGGCCGGGTGCGGTGGTTCACACCTATAATCCCAGCACTTTGGGAGGCTGAGGTGGGCAGATCACAAGGTCAGGAGTTTAAGACCAGCCTGACCAACACGGTGAAACCACATCTCTACTAAAAATAGAAAAATTAGCTGGGCGTGGTGGCACGTGCCTGTAATCCCAGCTACTCAGGAGGTTGAGGCAGGATAATCACTTGAACCTGGGAGGCAGAGGTTGCAGTGAGCCAAGACTGTGCCACTGCACTCCAGCCTGGGTGACAGAGCAAGGCTCTGTCTCAAAAAATAAATAATAAATAAATAAAAATTAAAATTAAATAAACAAATAAAACACAATAAAAAAAGCTGATTCTCAGATATAACAGTTGTTGGCAACGATATGGAGAAACTGGAACTCTGGGCTGGGTGCAGTGGCTCACACCTGTAATCCCAGCACTTTGAGAGGCCGAGGTGGACAGATCACTTGAGGCCAGGTGTTCGGGACCAGACTGGCCCACATGGTGAAACCCCAACTCTACTAAAAGCACAAAAGTTAGCTGGGCCTGGTGGCAGGCACCTGTAATCTCAGCAATTCAGGAGGCTGAGGCATGGAAATTGCTTGAGCCCAAAGGCAGAAGTTGCAGTCAGCCAAGATTGCACCACAGCACTCCAGCCTGGGCAAGAGAGCAAGACTCAGTCCCTCACTACAAAAAAAAAAAAAAAAGAAATTGGAACTCTGATAAACTAATACACTACTAGTGGAAATGTAAAATAGCACAGACATTTTCGAAAATAGTCAGGCAAACACACAGCTATCATATGATACAGCAATTTCACTCTTTGGCATATACACAAGAGGAACAAAAACACATCCACACAAAAACTTGTACATGATCATTCATAGCAGCATTGTTCGTAACTGCCAAAAAGTGGAAAGAACCCAGATGTCCTTCAACTGATAGGTGGAAAAACAAAATGTGGTACATTATACCATGAAACATTACTTAGCTATAAAAAGAAATGAAGTGTTAATACATACTATGACATGGATGAACCTTGAAAACATCATGCTAAGTACAAGAAGCCAGACCCAAAGGGCCCCGTAATACATAATTCCATTTCTACGACATGTCTGTAACAGGCAAATATTTAGAGACAGAAATCAGATTAGTAGTTGCCTAAGGCTAGGGAAGGGGGAAGGAGGAGATGGAGTAACTACTAACAGCTATGGGATTTCTTTCTGGGGTGATAAAAATTCCTACAATTGATTGTGGTGATGGTTACATAACTCTGAAACCACAGAACTGCATATTTAAAATGGGTAAATTAAATGGTATGTGAATTATGTCTCAATAAAGCTATTTTTAAAAAGCTGGTTACCACTACTCTCCTAAAAATAGAGATATATAAACCGTCTTTGAATAAACTGAACAATAATTTATCAAAGCGAGAAAAGTTAGCATGACTCTAAAATCATGACTTTCATAGTAAAAAAAAAAAAAGACACAATGCAACTGAGGATGGATATAAGAGGGAGAGAGACAGAGACAGAAGGGTGGGGGAAGGAGAGTATTGGAGAGTGTGTGTGCTAGAAGGGTGGTAAATGAGTGAAGAATAAAAATATCTTCTAATGGCCTGTTCTGCTATCTTTTACAGTAGAAATCATTCTTATAAATTTAATTTTCAAAATGTGTCTGTATTTGAAATTAAAATCAACTTTTCAAATGGTAAATGAAACTTATTCCAAGTGCCTAATTACATCTTGGCAATAGGTAGATGCTTTTTTTAATCCTTAAAACAATCCTACAAAGAAGGCATTATTTTTCCATGAGACAGACAATGAAAGTGAATTTTTTTTGTACCACATTAAACTCCCCCCCTTTTTTTTTTTTAACAAGAATGTCATATAATAGCTTAAAATGTGACTCTCTTGAATGCGCTACAAGGCCCCTCCATTTATATAAATAGAGTTATGCATCGCTTAATTATGGGGATATGTTCAGAGAAACGGGATTTCATCATAGGAGCATCACAGAGTGTATTTACACAAACCTAGACGGCTCCATGGTATAGCTTACTCCACACCTAGGCTATATGGTATATAGCTTACTGCTCCTAGGCTACAAAGCTGTTCGGCATGTACTGTACCAAATCCTGCAGACAACTGTAACACAATGGCAAGCATCTGTGTATCTAAACAAAGAAAAGCTACAGTAAATATATGGTAGAAAAGATAAAGGTACACCTTTATAGGGCAGCCCCATTATAATCTTATGGAACGACTGTTGTATATGTGGTCTGTTGCTGACCAAAACTTCTTTATGAGGTGCATGACTGTACAGAGAACGTGGTATGACCATTTAATGTACTCATTCAAATATTTATTAAGTATTTATTAAGTACTGTACATATAGTAATGAACATGTTGATATATAACAGCAATGAACATACAGTCATCACATTACAGACCATACATTCTTATAATGGGAAGCAGAAAACAGACCCATACAAGAAAAATAATTAATGTGCTAAGTGCTATAAAAAGAATTAAATACATACTAGACTAAGAAGTGACTTTGTGGTTACCTTTTACTGGATAAACAGAGGAAGCCTCTCTGAAGTGGTGATATTTAAGTTAAGATTTTCACCAGTCAGGTAAAGAGTAAGGGAAGAGTATTATTGGCAGAGGGAACAGTGAGTGCAAAGCTCCTAAGGTGAAATGAGCTTGAAATGTCTGGGAGAGAAAAAAGGCCACAGTGGAAAAATAAAGTGGATGAAAGAGGAATATGAAGGCAGTGAGACAGGTAACAGCGAAATCATGAAAGGCTTTAAAACCATGGTAAGGAGTTTGGTTTTTCTTTCTACATGTGATGGGAGACCAACAGAGTCTTTTACTGGGGAGGAACAGAGTCTGGCTGCAGTGTGGTGAAAGGAATGCTGGACCATGAGTTGGGAACTGCTGCAACAGCCCCGTTGAGATGATGGCACTGAACTAGCAGTGGCAGAAAAGGGACAGAGCTAGAGGGATGATGGGAGTTGACAGTTTGGTGATGGACTTAACTGTATCTTCGAGGTGACAGAATTGAAGGATGAGTCTTTTGAGACAAATTTGACAATACAGTTTTTAAAAATATAAACTTACCTCTTTCATAAACTGTTCAAACTCTTCATCTAGCTCTTCTTGGGAATAGTTAGCCATAGTCAACAATTTTGACCTCCCAAAGTAAACATTCTAAAGTATCTCAAACATTGGAAACACTAAATGACAAGAGACATAAACATCTTTTGAGGAAATCCATCACATCATGAACACGGTAAGGCTTAAACTTCAGACATTTGTTATGATTCAGTATATGTGCACATTTTTTTTTTTTTTCTTTTTTTAACCCAGTAAGCTGGTCAAGAGATTCCTAATTCATTAAGCAAACTGATTTGGAAAATCAGCTTTGACGGGATGTCTTGTACTCAACGTTCAGAATTATGTTTTCATCTGTTAACATCCAATTGTTAAAGAGTGGTCTCTACTATATTTCCCAAACCTATGTTTGTGTACATGTGTTAATTAGTACCTCTCAAACACAAACCAGGTCCTCACAGGGAATCTTAAAACCTGTAAGCCAGCAAATCCAAAGGACTGTTTCTTGCAAAGCACACAACTGTTTGTGCTGCCTTATCACTCGGCTGGTTATTTTACCAATCCATAGTAATAATTTCGTAAAGCAGACTGCACAGTTTCGTAAAGCAGACTGTATCCAGATACGGGGATGTTTCAAAATATACACAAATAGAATTTAGTAAGAATTAGTAATTTAGTCAAAATACTTACAGAATACTTAGAGTTAATGGAGTACACAAATCAGTACTATGTTTCTTTTGAAGCTAGGGAAGACCGACAAAAACTATGCGCTGAACACAAGCAGAATCCAGTGATTTGCAGCGGAAAGCGTTCCCCTAGACACCTAATGAACCCAACCGTGGGTCGACCCCCAGCTCCTGAACTCCCTAGAGCAGCTCAAATCCCAGCTTTCTTTTGTAGAGATGGGGGAGGGGAAGAGGGCTTGCAGACCCAGACAATACCCTCCCCATTGTGCAGAATAACACCTCTTCCGCTCATTAGCACTTTCGATCAGTTCAGGGTCAGTGCGGTTAAGGTCTTGGCCTGAATAGCTTGGTTAGATGTAGACTCCACCAAAAGCTTCTCAAGCCTGGCTGCGACCCCGTCCCCGGAAGCGCGGGTTCGGGAATTAGAGGGAAGACAAAGACGCATTCGCCGTGGGCTCCAGGCGGAGAAGGGAAATGACCCGGAAAACTAAAGCCCTTCGGTCGAGTATGAAGTACGGCCTCGGCCAGGACGATTTGGGTGGGAAACCAGCGTTCACACCTTACCACCTACCTCTGCCTCCCAATTCCGCGCTTTCCCGGAAGGTCTGTGCGGGTCAGCCAGTTGTCAGGGTAACAAACTTCAGCTGCCGGGTTGTGGAGTCACATGACCCGGGCTGGTCACGTGGGCCGTGGGTTTCCCAATGCCTTTACAAGCGAAGGTCGGAATTACCAAGGCTCAGAAAGACACTCTAGTGGCTAAACCTTCGCTGCTGCAGTAAAATGCCTTTCCTTCACTGGCTTTCTCTACGTTCCTTAGAAAAGAGGACGGCGGCAAACCGGTTACTGTAGAAGCGAGACGGAGGCTTCCAGCGGGATTGGGGGCCGCGGTGGTTGTAGGCCAGCCCGTGGCTTTCTGGGAAATGTAGTTTGGCTCCCTTGGTGCTTGTGTTTCCGCACTCCGCATCTTCGCCTCCCAGCCTTCCCCATACTTGTCGTTCGAGCGCTCTGTTTTTCCAAGGGGCAATTTTGAAGAGATTGAATTTCTTGGATTTATTTGGCGTGCAAAGACCTGTGTAGGCGTTGTGAGAGAAACACAAACCTGTGAGGAAAAGAACTGTCATTTAGATGGGGACTCTGTTCCACCACCTAGTGGACAAGAAATCGAAAATACACAAACAGCAAGATTCTCACTAAGTTATTGCTCCTGGCCTCAGAGCTTCTCTGTGGCTTCCCGCTACCCCTACTTTTCAAAACTCCATTCTTTACTGGCATTTCACAATTACTGACTTGGATTTTGTTTTCTATTTATTTTCTTTTTTCAAAGCATACAACATTAGCTGGAGTTTCGGAGGACAGCATTTAGCATAGTGTAAGTAAAATCTACAACAGCTGCAGATTTTGCTGATGGTAGACTTAGTTCGGGACCTCATCTTTAGCTAGAACTGTTTATTCTTCAAGTCTTTTTTGCAATCCAAATATGTACAAATCAGGAGCTGTGGACTATGATGCAAATATGAATAATAAAAATATCTTAAGCTAGCATTTATTGAGAAGTTGACTTCCTGCCACCTTCTATCAAAGACTTATCTTCCCACATATGATCTAGATCCTTTACACATTCTTCTTCTCACTGATCTTGTTCCACTGGTCATTTCCGCATAATCCTTCGACTCTGGCTGGCTGTGGGATTTTTCCTAACAGCATTTGAACATGCCTTGAGATCCCCACCTAAAACATCACTTTTGACACACTCTCTTCGTTCTATTATTTCCCAGTGGTTGAAACGATCTCTCTCCCTACCTTACTTGCCAATCTTTTCTGAGAAATTATTTCCACTTTAGCTCCCTTTCGTCAGACCTTTGAATCCTGTCTCTGTATGTGTATGTATACATATATGACAGCATTTTATTTGATCTCCCGTTACTATTTGATACACTTGTCCCTTCTCTCTTTCTTGGTTTTTCTTTCACATTTATAGCCTCCTGTCAAGGATTTTCACTGTCTCCATCTATCATAGCTGACCTCTAAATGTTAGAATTTCTTTGCTTTTCTTCTTTTTCTTTTTTTCTTATTCTTACTTTTCTTGAGACGGAGTCTTGCTCTGTCACCCAGACTGGAGTGCAATGGTGTGATCTTGGCTCACTGCAACCTCCACCTCCTGAGTTCAAGTGATTCTCCTGCCTCAGCCTCCCGAGTAACTGGGATTACAGGTGCCCACCACCACACCTGGCTAATTTTGTGTTTTTAGTAGAGACGGGGTTTCACCATGTTAGTCAGGCTGGCCTTGAACTCCTGATCTGCCCACCCTGGCCTCCCAAAGTGTTGGGATTACAGGTGTGAGCCACTGCACCTGGCTAATGTTAGAATTTCTTAGGGGTTATTTCTGGACTCTTATTCTGTCACACTTTATGGTACTTCCATACACCTACTCATTCAAGACAGAAATCTAGGAGTTCCCTCTCTACCATATTTTATTCATCAAGACTTGTCAGTGCTACCTGCAAAATGTGTCTCTATTCTGTTCATTTTACATCTTAATTACTAATGACAGAGGCATCTTTTCCTCTTGTCTGAACTGCCTCACTAGCCTTCTAACAAGTTTCTCTATTTCAACTCCTATCCTCTTCTAACCCATTGTCTACCCAATAGAAAATGTGATAATTTGAAAATGTAAATCAGGTTACTCCATTGCTTAAAATCCTATAATGATTTCTCACCGTACTTGGACTAAAATCCAAGTATCTACAAGGACTTGTATGATATGGTTGGCACTACTCTCTTCTACAGCCTCCTCTCACCCCCACTCACCAAGGCATGCAGAATTATTTGCAGCTCTGGTACAGAGTTCAATCCTATTGAGGTTAGAATTGAAGCTTTGGTATAAGGAGTGGAGGATGTATGTTACTGTGTCTAAAGAGTGAATAATCATTTTGTCTCTATGCATAAACCTACAACACTTATGCTTATAGGATCCAAGAGTTTGTTATACTGAATTGTGGTAGGAATGTCACTAAATTTTTGATACTCAATTGCATTGTTATACATTTTTCGAAATAATAGTCATTAAAAGAATGATTAATGTTTATTGAGAGTTTACACTGTGCCATATAACTATTGTATTCATTTTTATAAAATGAATTGACCTCATGACCCATAATTTAAAACACCATTTAATACTAGCTCTCATCATAAATATGTATCTAAAATGTCAATGAAATAGTTGCTTTAGTAGTTAAATCATTCTGGGTAGCATCAGTTTCCTACTTTTATATTCTCCATAATTGTTACAGGTTTCTCAATCGTTATGTGTTTCTTTTTGTGTTTCCTAGAATGATATGAAATTTGATTTATATTTGGTGTTTATTCAGCTCTCTAGTGAGGTTCCAGAGGGGGAGACTGTACCTCAAGCCTTATATTGCCTTTTCTCATAGCAAACAGTACAGTGTGAGAACTCAGTCAACATTGACAGTATAGTTGTAGCCAAGACCTGCAATGGTAATGGGATGTAAACTTAGCACATTGTGGGAGTGGATTAAGGAGAAGAACTGAATCAGATACAGTTACACAATAGTTCCAGTTGCTTGCTTCTTTACCTCTAATTTTCAGAAGGGGGCATTCTCTTCACATATGTGGATAATGAGGAAGACACCGAAGGAATCATGTAATTCTAGTCATAAGAAAATTAATGATTTTTTTGTTATTGCCATTGTGACTTTGTTTGTCAAAGTCATTGTTGACTTCTGCTCGTTTGTCCACATCTGACTGCTTTTGACTACTTAAAATTTTTCTTAATTGTTTTATATATGAAATGTAGTAGTCAAAGTTTAAGCTGTTGTTATAAGTTTTCCCCAAGTAAAAGAATAATAATTGTTCATAGTACAATATTGAGAAATTTTACAGTCATATTTACAAGTGTTTAAGTGTTTCTAAAATAGAAGCAGATGCTCTTTCCCTAGAGTATGCAGAGCTGCCCATTTATAATTATATCATGAGCTCATGGATGGTGATTTAGGTGATGAAATCGTTTTTAAAATAATTCTTTAATAATTCAGTAAATGGCCACTGAGGATGTCAGTAATTTGGCTATGCTTCTAAATAATACAATTAACAACATGGTTTTATAATTATTATTAAAATGCAAAAACACAAAAATTGATGAATCAAGGAAAAACTCAGCCTATGAAAGACCCTGTAAGAGGAGGAAAAGACAAACTAAAGATTAGGATAAACTATTTGCAAACTGCATATCTGACAAAGGGCTGCTATCTAGAACATACGAAAAACACTAGTAAAATAGTAAAATCAGCAAAATACACAATTAGAAAATGGACAAAAGACACGAGTGGACATTTCACCAAAGGGGACATGAGAAAGGTATATGAAAATGGTGAATAAGCACATGAAAAGATGCTCAACATCACAAAGATATTCCACATCAATAGGAAAATGCAAATTAGAACCACAATGAACTATCACTGGGTGAGGGTAGGTATGAAGAGGTAGCACAAGAAATCTTGATCGTTCTGTATCCTGATACAGTAGCAGTTATAGCAAGCTACATATTGATAAGATTGCATATGAATGCACACACATGCCACGCATATACAAATGAGTGCATATAAAATTGGTGAAATCAAAATGACCTCTATTCCATTTTCCCCAACTTTCTGTCAATCTGTTACTAGATAGAATAAGATTATAGGTTATATATATATATGTTTCACAATCCCTTCTTCTAGGAAAATCTTGTGAGAAGCACAATATAGAAAACAAATAAAAGCAGAGTTGCCATGGTTGGGAGGCAGGTGAAGGATGGTTTTGAGCTCTCTTTCTATGCTTTTTTATTGGCCTTGAAGGGACCTCCCCCAAGCTCCAGCGTGCTGTCTAGAACTGCTTATTTTAGACTATAATTCTGTAACCCAGATAATCACATAATTTCTACATGTCTATTAATATATAATCAATGTAATACATATATGAATTCACCAGCAAGTTAGAGAAATAATTAAGTATAAATATGTGTTTTAGTATATATACAAAATTGTGATTTTTAGCATATCTAAAATATGGATTAAGCTCATCTGATTATTAACAAATTATTAGGCTGTGTCTATGTGATAATGTTAGTCTAAAATTAAATTTTTTGTATTCACATATCTTAGATGGTGGTGAGATGATTGGATACAAGAAGAAAATATTAGAATTTATTTTCAATGTATTTTTATCTTAAACTTAATAAATTAAAGTTTGACTAATATTGTGGACTAATTGTAATAAATGTTTTAATTTATAAATAAATATTCATAAAGTGAGTGTGTTTGCCTCCAAATAGTTTTACTGACAGGGCTATGTGGAACATTACTGATTTATTTAATGGAACTCTTACAACACAGAATTACTTTATTAAAATATGTCAATAAGGTAGAAGTTTGAAGTTGTGTTTATTATTTCCTGAGCTACCTGTTTTGGATTACAAATATCACTATTTTGTTGTATTAAGAAACTCTAATAAAGAAAAATGATCATAATGTCTTTGAGCTAGAAGTATTTTTCTAGTCACAATCTGTAGTCTTACGCATAAATAGGCCATATAGAGTCATTTTCTAACCCATGGTCCTTTATTAGTT